TTTATTGTTTTTGCCCCTTTTCTCTGTGGCGATGGAGAAGGGCTTAAGTCACCACCCCCTACCTTATTTTAATGGGACTTATATTATGTATTATAAATATTCCCTCTCCACTATATACATGGTTCTTAAGAATTGCTACACGTGAAAAAGTCTCCCAGGAGATGCTATTATTTTACAAGCAGGGGTCAAGAACTCAATAAAAAATGTTTAAAATTAAATGCTTATTTATGAATCACTGTGAAATTCATATTGGTAAAATTATTGTTAGTAACAGTTTAAAGACTTACGGGGTTTGGTGTTGACTGGTCTGTAAAATGTGGGTGAGTAAAATGAATTCAGCTGTTTTGTACTTTCAGTTATACAGTTATGCATATTATTTTGGTAAAGTGGGATTTTAGGTTAAGCAGTTTTCATCATATAGCAGAAACAGAAAAAATTGTATTTAAATAATATATTTTAGGAAAACTTCTATAAGGGCCAGACCTAAATCAACGATAACTCAGTAATAATTGCCAGTTGCTGCAAATACCCTACAGGATTCTTTTGATCTGTGTCAAGCCATAAGTTGTTTTTTCCTTCTTTTTAACATAGCTATGTGTATCAATAAGAAAGTTGCCCTGGCTGGTGTGGCTCAGGGGACTGAGTGCTGGCCTGTGAACCAAAGGGTTGCCAGTTCAATTCCCAGTCAGGGCACATGCCTGAGTTGCGGGCCAGGTCCCCCGTGGGGGGCACGTGAGAGGCAACCACACATTGATGTTTCTCTCCCTCTCTTCCTCCCTCCCTTCCCTGCTCTCTAAAAATAAATTAATTAATTAAAAAAATCTCTCAGGCTTATCCAGGACTGTTTAGAATTCTAAGCAGCTCTAGGAATGTGGATATTGTTTTGTCTGTTTAGTAGCCAGGTTTATGGACCTTCTCTCTAGGGCTGTGTGGTCCAGCTGGTATGCAGAACGCTGGAGGGGCCTGTGCATCTGGGTTGCACATGTGCTGAAAATTTCATTTCCTTCCTCCTCCTACTGGCAGGTTGCGTGGGGCCTGATTAGCGAAGCCTCAAATAGGTAGATGGGCAGCCTCCTCTGTTTAACCTGGGGATGTATGGAGGGGGAGGGGCTTCCAAAAACATCCTTTTCCCTGCAAGGTACAAAGGTACACTACTGCTTTGTATGACATGACCACTCTTTCAGTCTCCTATCTTTGCTTTGCATTGTGTGTTCTCCTACACTCTGACCTCAGAGTCATCTGAGCAGATTCTCATTCTCCCTGCCATTGGGCAGATTTCTTTTCCCAGATAGCCTAAGGGTCTGGCAGGGGCTAGGGCCTGGCAGCTCAGATTCCCATTAAGGCAAAACAAGCAATCTGCTAAATAAACCTAGCATTAAGCAGAGAAAAAGGATGGTAAAGCAAGCACAATCTATTAATATTCTCATTTTGGACTTTATTTAAGAGAAGAGTTTGTACCACAACAAAATCATGGTATATTCCATTTCATGAATCATGCCAATGTCTAACTTTTATGCAATCTACATTCCAATTATATAACTGTCTAAACATAATCCATCAACCTAACAATTTTCTTTAACTGAATCTCAGATGCTGAGACATGTATTTAAATATATAAATTACTATATTTAATCAGTTATTGTAATATGGAGGTCTGAAACCTCAGTTACTGTAAAAGTGAGATTCTAGGTGCTATTTTATTTCTAAATTCATAAGAAAAAACACTTACTGATTTTTATTTTACCAAAGTTGGCAGCAAATCCAAAACATTTAAAGGCTATTGTTTATCCTCTTTCAGTTAGCACGAACCAAGTAAAATGCCATCCATCTAATTAAATATTAAAAAAGTACATTTTTCTTTTTTGTCGTAATGGGAATCTCAGTAATATATGTCTAATACATATAGTTATACTTAACTATACATTAAGTTATAACTTAACTTATTCAATTTCATACCCAAATATTTAAGAGCATGGGGTCTCTAGTGTGCAGAAAATAATAAAGGGAATACTTGGTGATAATAAATGTTGAACAAAGCAGTTAAGTGAAATTTATTTGTGACTTACTATTAGTTATGTCTTACTATTATAAGTTTAAAGTCTTTTTGATATCATAAAATTAAACTTGGTAGATTTCTGCAAGGTCACTGTTGTGGACCTTACTTGGCTCCTGAGAAACTATCAGCTGATTCTTAAAAAGTTTTGCTAAGCATTTCTTGGGCTTTGAGTATTTCATCTCTCATTACTTTACAAATGAGCTGAGACCCCGAAGCATCCTTCAAACTATTAGAGACAGAGACTTTCTGGGTGGTGCAGTAGGCAATTTGGTTTTTGAACAGGAAAAGACCAGGATTACTTGTTACTATTGGCAGAGTGGTCTAAAGAAGAGACTTTAAAAATAAATTTAATAAGTATTCAAATAGTGTTTACTAGGTGCCAGGCTCTTCTAAGCTCTTTCGGAGCATTAATTCATTTAATGTAATCCCCACGAGAACCCTAATAGTATCACAATTATCTTCTTTAGCTGATGAGGAAATAGGAGCTCAGGGAGCTTAAGTAACCTTTGAGGTCACTTGACCAGAGAGCTACTAAGATTCAACCTCAGGCTGCCTGGCTCCAAGCGCTTGGCTCTCTCTCTCTGTGGCTGGTGATAAACAGTGCTGACCTGTGCACCCTTTGAGCTGGTTTTCTCGTACAGGCTTTAGGCCAGGGAGAACAAATCACTCTCAACAAGTACTGCGGTGAACTTGGGAGAGATACCAAGGGCAGTCACCTATGCCAGCCACGTATATCAATACACAGACTTCAGATGTTTAAAACTAAGATTAATAATCAATTTCTAAGCTATTAATACTTCCCTTTTAGTTTTATTATAGACTTTCCTTTTAAAAAGCCAAACTTGCCTAAGAAGAATTATCCATCATTATCTTCTCCTTGCCTGAGAATTGTTTACAAGAATTAACCTTGTAAAGAGCCGGTTCAATTGGTGCAAATAAAGTCAGATGAAAAGTCAGCAGGGTCAGAGAGGGCAATATCAAAACTTCGCCTCCACACCAGTTGTGGATTTCTTTCACTTGCATAGTTTTCTTTTTTTAACAAATGAGTTTTACCCTTTATTTAATTCTGTATGTTGTTTGTATTTTAGATTTCTGGTAAGCATCTAAAAATGTTACAAAATAGTGTCATAACCTTTCACATAATTATCAAATTAACTAGAGAAGTTGAGTACCTTGTAAGTACTCCAAAAAACTAATACTGAAAGATGAATTTGAACTTGGTGATTCTATCCAGTCAACTGTCTAATGGGTAAAAGGGAAACTTTTATGTACCAGACTTGAGTATTTTACACAGTTATCCGGTTTAATTCCACAGCCTTACAAGGTGGTATCACACCTACCATTTGAGGGCAGAGAAAAGAGATTTGCAGAGGATAAGAGCTTGCCATATGTTTCACAGTTAAAAAAGGGCCTTAGCGGAATTACAAACTCAGGTGTTTCAGGCTCCACATAACATAGCACTAAGAGATAATCTAAGGTGTGGATATTTTGCTAAGAAGGAACTAAATTTGCTGGCAATCAAAATTTTCTTTTGCTTGAAGCAAACTGATTTTCTTCAATACCACTGCTTCTGGAAATAACGGGCAAATAATGACAGTAGGGAGCATCCATCTACTTCCCACGTGATTAGTTGGAAAAAAAAAACCAAAACCCCCAAACAACGCAGATACCTGTACCCACATCTTGGAAAAATACGGTATAGCTAAGGATCCGGCCGGATTTAGCTAGCGAGAAGCAGCAGCTTTTGAACGATGGGTAGGCCACGGTCTAGGAGGTGAATTAAAACAACTTGCCCATTGAAGCTGGTTGCTCCTGCTGCCCTAAGAGGCCTATAGGCTGCACAGGAGTCCTTTCCGGCCACTTGAAGGGATATACAGTAGTTGCAGTAGGAATACCCGGTGCTCACCTTCAAATAGGAAGGCAAGTCCCATTATCAGGGACATACATAGATCCATATCACATCCTAACAGTACTTTTTCATAGGAAGTGCGGAATGGAAGGTGTCATTCACTTAGGGCGGGGGGGAAAAGCACTTTGCTCCCTAAGCGTAATTTTGGGAGGAAATTCTCCCAGTGAAGTCGCCTCCTCCAGACACCCCTTTCTCTTTTCGTACATTATCCTTCCTTACTGATCCCCAGGGTGGAACGTTTCCGAGGCTCGAGACCCCGCCCTCAGCCCCAGGCAGCGCCGTGAGCGCTGAGGTCCCCAGGCGAATGGGGGCGACGGTGACGCAGGAGGCGGTGGGGGCCCAGGTCTTGGCGCTGGGTGAGGGGGCCGGTTTTCCCGCGGGCCTGGCCAATCAGGAAGCGCGGTGTTTCGGGAGCCGGGAGTGCAGCGGGTGGGCGGGGGCCCCTAGGTTTCCTCGGGTGCCGGCGCAGGGCCTCCTACAGTTTCTAGGGAACGCGCGAAGCCCCTTGGGGTGTGCGGGCGCACCCGTCTGTCCCGCTTTGCCTTCGCTGCTTCCCCGCCCCGTCAGAGCCGCTGCATTTGCGATCCAGAAACGGCTCCGACGGCGCCCGGCCTCCTCATCTTCGGGCACCTTGCTTCTGCCCGCAGCCCGAGTCGCCGGGCAGTTCTTCGCCTGGAGTCCGCGGGCCGTGCGGGGGCGGTGCCGGCGGGGGCGCCTCACCCGGGCTGGCGGCGGTAATGCTGCTGCGGTTGCCGCCTTTGCGGCCGGGTGGACAGCTGGCAGTGGCAGGAGCCGGAATCAGAACCGGAGCGCGCTCGTCGCTGGCCGGGACGCCGCCTCCGCCTGCGCTCGGTTTCCGCGGCCGCCGCGGGGCGCCGGGGCCCGGTGCGGCATGAGGAGGAGGCTGCACGCCGGCGAGCGCCCAGCTCCTCGGCCCCCAGGGCCCCCGCAGGCCCCCGCGTGCCGCGCGCTCCGGCTGCGGCCGCGGCGCCCACGCTAGCCCCGCGCGGGCACCAGACGCTGCGGTCCGGAGGAGGAGGAGGAAGGCGGCGGCGGCCCAGGCCTGCGGAGCGCAGGCGGCCCAGATTTTGAGCGCGTCCTGGACTCCGGGACGCCGCGGACGGAGCTGCCGGGAGCCCGGGCGTGCTGCAGTTTGCTGCCCCTCTCCGCAGGGGCGCCGCGGTGCGCAGCCCGCCTATCTTCCCACCTGGGTTCCTTCTTCCCATCGCTGCCGGGCGGAAAAAACGCGCGTTCTTGGCCTCCGCAGGTCCTTGCGTCCCCTCTCCCCACTCCACCCCTTCCCCGCAGTCCTCCCGCGCTTCCCCTCCCCCGGCCCTGGGGCCTCTCATTCATTCAGTCTGCTCCTTCCCTTTCCTCCTTCCTGCTTGGGCCCTCTCCCCAAGAGCCTCCCCGCGCGGACCCCGTTGCGGTCTCGGGGTTCTTAGTACATTCATGGAAGTTTAGGGCCTGGACGGTGCCCGCAAGTCCTGCCGGAGAGCGCAGCCCGAGCTGCCGTCTGGGAAGAAGAAGATGTCGGTGCTCAGGCGGATAATGCGGGTCTCCAATCGCTCCCTCCTCGCCTTCATCTTCTTCTTCTCCCTGTCTTCATCTTGTCTCTACTTCATCTATGTGGCTCCGGGCATCGGTAAGCACCGAGACACACCCTCTCTTCCCACGGTCACACTGGAGGAAACACAGGGTGTTACTTAGGGGATTTGGAAGCTGTATAAATAGAGGCCCGGTAGAAAGCGTTTAATTGAAATGTTATTTAATGTGTCAAATAAACTGCTTCGGGACATGGCTTTGGTATGTGAGTTTTGTTAGTGCAGTTTTAAATCACTTAAAAACTGCATCAACTGGACAGAGCAAAATTAGGTGTAATGGCCCCGGATGCTCCTGTCTCTTTCTTGAGTCTTCATGACAGCTTCATCCATTTAACATCAAGTCTTTAATCTTAAGCTCAGATGTAATAACTGGCTGTAAAAATATGATGGGGAGACCAAGGGCAGGAAATGTAAGTTCAAAAATGCACGTATTCTAGTGTTCTAGGTCAGTTTATAAGAACCGGGTCAGTGAACATTTGTGCCATACTTCAGAAATTTTTAGGCGAGGAGTTGTCTTGTAAAAACAATGCTGCATTATTTAGTCTGCTTGGGTCTGCTTTTCAAGGATAGTAGCCTCTCCTACCTGTTAGGATGACTTCTGAGATAAAATAATAATTAACAATGGGGTAAGATAGTTTGTAGTTTAACATTTTAAACTATCATTTTTTTGGGCTTTGGGCTAAAATACACTTTTGTTTAATCTGCTTGAATTGGCTTCTTAATTAAATATCCTAATTCCTCAGCCCCCTTTTGTTAAAAAGGTGCCAGTGTGGCATCCTAATGATTGAGAAATAGCAACTTCGTATGGATATTAAAACACACTGTATTTCCAAATTCTCTCTTGAGTTTTTCCTGGTTTATATATTTAATGTTAAATTAGCCACAGTGTGGCATCTCCTCCCATTTCTTGTTAGACCCTAGGAGTCTTTTAAGCCAGTGTCATTTCTCCCTTGACTTAGCTAAAAATGTATGGCTTCTTACAGAGTGAAAACACCTGCAGAATTTTGAGATGGGATTATTATCAGGGCATTGTCTTGTGGGGTTATAGATTATTGTAATGAATTGTGTGGGCAGAGGGGGGAGGTAAACCCCATTGACACCATTTAATTTCCTAAAATTATTACAAGATTTTTTTTTTATTGGAATACTTTATTGACTCTTGAACAAGAGGGTTGACATTTTAATTTATTTCAGTACTCAAAGTAAAAATATACACTGAATTAATTTTTTATATCTTATTTTTTATTAAAGTACAGTTAAAATACAATATTAAGTTGGTTTCAGGTGTACAGCTTGACTCTTTCTTGACTCACTTTTCAGATTCGAGTAAGATATATAAGCTCATGTAATGCTTGGGAAGACATAAGTGGTTGAAACCTTTATGTATCCCAAAATAGAAGTGTGAGGTTAAAGTTGGAAGACGATGAATATTTTAATATATCATTTCCCTTTAGTGTAGCTTTTTTCTTCAGGCTAAATAAAACATTCCTTGAAGCCTGTAGTAGAAATGACAGTGATAGCTCAGTGGATGTAAGAGTAGTTAACCAAAATATTCAGCAGGCTTTTCTTAAAAATCCTGCCATTTTGGAAGTCTTATAAATTAACTCCTCATTCTACAGCAATTTTTATTCTTTCATGTAGCCTTTTAAAAATTGGACATCTTTGGGGGATATTACTTTATTAGACATATAACTTATTTTGGAGAAAAAGTTTTTTTTACAATTAGATAACCATTTTCTTATTTTCTTGCTATTTTGAGTAACATTGTACAGTTATGATACTCAAAAAGCTAACCAAAGGGAATCAGAATTCCAGCTGTTACTTGATAGTCATTTAAAAAAAATCCTTACCTGAAAATATGTGTATTGATTTTAGAGAGAGAGGAGGAGGCAGGGAGAGGGAAGCATCAATATGAGAGAGAAACAATGGTCGGTTGCCTCCTGTAGCACCTTAACTGGGGGTCTAACCCGCAGCCTTTTAGTGTACAGGACGATGCTCCAACCAACTGATCCAACCAGGGCCAGGGTAGTAGTCCTCCATTTTTTGTTAGTGCATTAATGTTATCTATAGATTCTTAAAATTCAATTGATGTGAAGTACTAATACATGTTTCTTATTTATGCTTAATGTTTGTCATAGAATAATCATTGATATGTCATAAGAAATTGGCAGTTAGGTTCACACCTTTAAACTACTGTTGTGATGGGTCTTATAATTTATAATTTCAAAAAATTGAAGTCAGTAAGAATGAAAAGCAAAACTTACAAAGTTCTAGTAGTTTGTTAAATAGAATCTATTTTCCAAACCCAGTATTATTTAGCAGGAAAAAAAGAGCCTCTTTATTTATATTTTAAGTACTGGGAAACAGTTTCCTAAAATTCACATTTTTGCTTGAAAGCTTGAATTCTATCATTGGCAATGAATACTGTCAGTTTTTCTTGACATGTCAGGCTCGCTTTGTTCATTTTTGGGAAAATGAGGGTCAAATACAGAAATCTAAACAACTATTGTTTGCCAGTTGCTCTTTCAAGTAAAAATGATGTTCCATGAAAAATGTGACTAGTTCAGCTCACAGTGCAGCAAGCAATCACACAATTTGATTTTCAAGATGACCGTGGTACTTTGGTATGCTGCAGAAATACTTTATGCATGCTTTCCATTTCATCATAGATTTCTTATTAATGAGACATATCCAAAACTAATTAGGTTCTTATAACTAGTTTACACGATAGGCACATGGAATCTTTTTGAAATAATTCATATTTTAGCCTGAATTACATCTTGGAGCAAAATTTTCTTATAACTAAAGAGATCGCTTTTTATTAATTTACATAAATATTTTGCATCTCTTCTGTTAAATAGTTTATATTAATTCTGTCCACATTAACCTGTTTAGTAGACATCAATTGCATTTTCCTACCTCTTCCATCCAGAGACCTACTTTTGTCATGTGCCTTCCCCAGGCTTCCTGTCATTTTAGCTACTCTTCCTTAGTCTCCTTCACCTGTGTTCTTCCTTCCCTCCCTCTCTTTATGAGCAGATAATACCACACATTTGCAGTCAGTATAATCTGTTTAGTTTCTAATGTTTTCCCATGTTGCTCAACAATTTTTTGGTGGTTTCGGTCTTTCCATCTGCAATGAGTTGCATCAAGCTCAGAGCTCATTATTTTAAGAAAAATTTGAAACATTTTCCTTGACATTCTAATTCATGCAGGAAACACAGAGATAGTCTTTATATTATGAACTTAGTACTGAGGAAAATAGGTTTGCAGATCTCTCTCCATCTCCTTCCTGCAGAAGTGCACGGACCTGTTGCTCTAGCCCACCCAGTAGAGCCAGGGACCGTGCATTGTTTCTCATTCAGTCTCTACCTTTGGGCATGGTTGCAAACCAGTTTCCTTCCAAGGTGAACGCAGTTTCCTTCCAAGGAAACGGGCTGGATTGAGAATTCAGTATGAAACAGTTTCCAGTATAACTTCCAACATAACACAGGCATTTTCTGGCTATAGTATTAAAGGAGCAGATGAGCTGACCTGTAGATTCATTCAGCAAACACGAATAGAGGACCTCAGATAGGCTAGACATTGTTTGAGGCAGGGAAGGAAGAGAGGATGAAGACACGGTTCCTTTCCTCGCACTACAAGGGGATGAGCGCTAGGAAAGGGCTGCCGCAAGTCCTGGGAAACCACGCGGGGGCAGGGGGGTGGGTGGTGAGGGCTGGTTAGGGATTTCCAGAGGAGGTGGTGATTGGAGTGGGGCCTTGAGGATGGATAGGATTTATCTGAACTGAGTAAGGGATTCTAGTCAGAGGGAACAGGATGGGGTTCCAGAAAAGAGGAGCATTTCCATCTGGCTGCCACCGAAGGTGTGGGGTGGTAGGTGGGACACACTGGGAAGTCGTGGGGCTCTCCTACCCAGCCGAGCCTTCTGGTGCTTGACGTCCCTAAAGTTCTGGGCAGAGAAAAACTGGTCTCGGCACACACAACTTTCTCAAACCTGTCCATGACCAAGAAAGAAGTTTATGTGCCTGTGATCAGTGGGGTAATATTCTGGGGATGATGGTACAGCTGCCCGGAAAGTGGGGATTTTACTGTTCCTTTGACTCACCAGAGGCCCTGACCCATCCTAGACAGTTGACAGGCTGCTGTATTTTTAAAGTAAATGTGGATTCTGGATGGGCCACTTTGGTCTGATTTTCTGTGGGCCCTTTGAAGGAATTATCTTAGTGCTTTGTTATTTGGGCCTCTTGGGGGTTTGTGCCCTTCAGGGACTGGGGGAGTCAGGGATGGGTGGTCAGGGTGTAGACGTGTGTGTGCAAGTATATGTGATGTGGGAGAGGTGGCTTAGTTAGGTGTTCGCTTGGAGACCCCCCTGACCTTTCAGCTCGGTTTCTCTTGGCTGGCGCAGGGGGTAGCTGGTTGTCCCGCAGCTTTCCTGTCCTAGCCCTTTAAGCCTCGGTTCTGGCTGGATGAGCTGGGTTGTGTTCTTTTTGATGTGTTATCACCTGCTTTGTGTTTCAAAGGTCCTTTTGGTTTTCCCTTTACCAAATGCTCTCATCTACGTGCACCTTTTGGGAGATCTTTTGATTGAGGCCACAATGTTGGTCATTTCTTTCCTCTGGACCTTTCTTACTAGCCATGCATGCCATGCTAAAATTTTTGTCCTGTAAATTAAAGGAAACAGCAAAAGACTGAAAAAGAGGAATGGTGTGGTTTTCTGTTTTAGAGCAGTTCTTCTAGCATGGAGCTTGGGGTACAGAGGGCAGAACCAGTGGCAGGGAGGGTGTTATTTCAGTAGCTCAGGCAATAGAAGATTAGAACCTGATCAAGGTCATAGTTGGATCAGGGTAGAGTTGAGAGGATGTGAATAGGATTGAAGGAAAGGGAGAAGCTTTGAGACAATGCTTGCCTTCTAGCTTAGACAACAAGGCTTTGGTAATAGGGAACAAAGAAAGGCGCATGTCTTAAGGAGGCTGTTTTGGATTTAGAGAAATTTATTTGGGATGCCCACAGGATCTCACGGGAGAACTTGCCAGTAGGT